TATTATATGACTTTGGAGGAGAATGAGGTCAGAAATAATGATGAATGTTGTGAGGCATTGGATAAATGCTAGCTGACAGAACTGATCCACAGATTTTCTGGTTGTTATCTCTGAAATAATGTTGAATAATTTCTTTTTTTGCACAATAGTCGTCATGTTTTGCATGTCACTTTTGAATTGATTTTTTAAGATGACATTTTCCCTTGCTCACAGAGCCTCAGCCTTATTGCTAAAAAGTTTACCCTTCCTCACATGGATTCTTGGGCATTTTCTAGCTTTGTTTTACAATATGCAGTGCCAACAGCCACATTTAAGGCTTGGGTTATCCCAATTTATGGACAAAGGTAACGGTGAACAATACTCTGAATTTTCAAAAATGGACCTTATTAATTGTTTGTTAAGTCTGAATGTTTTTTTTTTCAAAAATGCTTTCATAGTAATATATAAAATATTGATTCAGAAGTTGTGAAAAGAGAGTTGGCTTCATACATAAAATGTGTTTTTGTAAGTTACTGATAATGGTTAATCTTTAGAAAGTAAAATTCTGGAATCAGTGAGGAGTTGGAAATTTTCTAATAATTCTGTAACTTAGTAGTGAGCAGCATTAGTCATCTGCAGGGAAAGATTGGCCATTAGATTTGTCATTGCACCAAGATGAAGTACACCTATATAGCATTTTTTCAAAATTATGATTCTAGTTCAATCGTACCAATGGAAATAATAGCAGTTGTATTAGATTTTTTTCTCGTTATCTTTCAGTTTTATCTTCAAACGTGTTCATTTTTATTCAGGACAAAATTCAGGTACAAGTGTCCAGTGGGAGAGGGGGGATATTGCTTTTGAAGCAGACAGACTTAGCATGACCTTTGAAGCTCATCATAAGGATAATACTAACATTTATTCTACAAAGACTCTGGATGAGTGACATTTAAGTCATGTTTGACTGTTATTCTACAGTTTTGTTCTAGTGGTCAGGAGTCAACTTAAAATATAAGTGTATGCCCTATCAATTTGTAGACATGTAAAATTATTCTATATACTGAGAAAAAGTGTAATTGTTGAAGGTGGATGTGGTAAAGTGTCATAATTAAGCCTCTTGCTGAGACCAAGAAGGTTATTGCACTGACCTCAGATAAGTTGCTAGTGATGGTACAGCCAAGAAAGATGGCATTTGCTTGATTTATGGTATATGAAATATGTTATTATTTTGATTAATCAGCCAGTAGGAAATGTCAAAATTACAAGCACATGAATGACTACATATATTTCAGTTTAGTGGTTTCTTACCTAAAAAAAAACTGTTATGATGACACATGAAAGATAAATGTATTTGACTGTTGCAGGAGAGAGACATAAAGGAAGGTGCAGACATGTTGATGGTGAAGCCAGGCATGGCATATCTGGACATCGTCAGGCAGGTCAAAGACAAGGTAAGATGGCCGCTTATTCCTTTCTTTCCACAGAATAGAAAATTTTAACTCATCTCAGATTCCTGTTTTTTCCATGTAAATCAAAAACTTAATTGATGAAATTAAAACACCACAAAAAAATTTACTGCAGTGTATTGTTTACGCGCCACACCAGGTGTCGCATGACACATGGTACCATGTGACTTAGTGCAACAATCTTGAATGTAATAAAGTAGAACTCGCAACATTACCACCCCATTTACCTGTTTTTCTACCGATTGATTACAAAACAAGAAGATATGAAAAATATTATGAAAAACTATTATTTCTTAGTTTAACACTTACTGGAATGATCAGCTTAACCTTTTTGCTCAATAATCAAATGGCTTCTTTGAAACATATTTTCTCATGTTGTTTTCAATTTTCAGTTTATTGGGATTGAAAAAATATATGATGCAGCTTGATATACATTGACAGTATAGCTTTATCTTACTAGCAATATTAATCAACCATGATGTAGGGGCAGTCTACAGAGATATCCTGCTATACCTCAGATAATTATATCACATAGAAATTAGTGCATGTTTTTAATTATTTAGACACAAAACGAGTTTGAGCGTGCATTTTTATATATTTGCATCCTTAGATTCAGTTATTGCTGTGTGTATAATTACAGTATCCCAACCATCCACTGGCTATCTACCAGGTGTCTGGGGAATATGCAATGCTGTATTGGGGCGGTCAGCACGGGTCATTTGACCTGAAGAATGTACTGATGGAGACCCTAGTGGGAATGAGGAGAGCTGGTAAGAAATGTATATAATTATCTGTTACAGAATTTAGGAGCTGTTAATATTTTTATTGTTTATACAGAACATTTTATTATAATAATAATTATTATTATTATTAGTGATTCATTTTTCATGAAAAAAAATATTTTTTACTAGTATGAGCACCAGATTTTATTAAAATAAAAAGATAACTGGCGAAAAAATAACTGCTTTTTGACAGCATTGCAATTATTTATGAAGTTTTAAACTACTTTATGTCAAAATGGTTTTCTTTTTTCTGAAGTAGTATCTCTTCTATTCCTTCTGTAAATTGAAAAAAAGCAGTATTTCACTTATTTGAACAATCTCATTTCTACAGCTTTAAAATATGAGAGGTTAACATGTTCTTTATAACCTTCGGCATTTCCAGGTATTTTTGGAATATTTTGCCTTTATCTCTTATTTGTTTCATAATTAGAATTAAAAAAAAAAATTCATAGTTCATTACATATGGTTAATTATAATTTTTTTATTTATCATTTATTTATTTTTTTTTTTTAATTTTCAGGTGCTGATATCATTATTTCATACTTCACACCATTGTTATTAGACTGGTTGAGCCAGAAGGACGAATAGCGACCCATGTTCGCTAAACACATTTCACATTCTATATTAGGCCTATTTGACACAACTTATACATTTTGCTGCTGAGCCAGAGCACAGGCACAACTTACCATTGCAGAAGTTGCGATTGTGCTGAAAGAAACGCCAGGCACATCTAACGCAATGACTGTGACTGCCGACGGTTTGACAACAATTGCATCAAACACAATCCGCATGACGTCTTATTCGGATGTAATAAGAAGGGATTGGAACCACTTACCTTATGCATTTAATTATCATTAATGGATATGTAAGCAAGATCTAAATTGTCAGCAATGAGCTACATTAATACTTCTGCATAAAGAGTAAATTGCAGTGTTTTCTGGTGTAGGGTGACTCGAATGTACTATGACCAGACCGTTTTACTTTAAGATAGAAACTGCTTTGAGGGAAGAAAAGTAAACTTCAAGACAAAGCTAAATTCCTTAACTTTGCTTTGCTTAGCAGGGTTTAATGATTTAAGCACAGATGGAGCACGGGTGAAGAAATTTAGAAGCTGTGCAAAAACAGCCATGGGAAAATTTCTCATATATTCAAAAGTCAACTTTCTTTCAATCAATTTTGTGCTAAATTGATCAATTATCACCATAACTCCCAATAACAACCAAAGAGAGTCGACAACGAGCCATGAAATGACAAAACTACAAACTTTTTTCTCTTGATCTTCTGAACACACTGCTACGGAGTGAGACTTTGTACAGGAACCACTGTTGATCGAGTTTTTTTTAAACTAAGATCTAATATACCATTAGATCTTAGTTTTAAACTAAGGGTGCATTCCCAGAGATATAGATCGATCCAGAGATTAGGATTTAGATCGACCTAACTCCCTGGGGGTTCACGCTAAATTGCAGTCAGCCGCGCGCGCACCATAGTTAATTACCCCTTTACAGCTTTTAGTAGGCGGGACAGACGCTTAAGCCGGCTAAGCTGACAGTAATCTAGTGAGACTCCCCACAGGGATAGATCGATCTGAAATCTATGGAAATGGGGTCTAAGGCCCAGTATACTGTAAAAAGACTAGTAAAAAAGTTTGTCAACAGTGTAGTTTGACAATCGAAAAGAAAATCCTGATAGGCTAATCTTATAGACGAGGTATTTGATTTGTATAATCAGTATAATGATAATTTAATATATTGAATAAAATGGATTTTAAAACTAGATTCTTAGTTCAGAGTTTTATTTGAATGTATATCCTATTCGAACTCTTGAGAAAATTACGCCTTGCGTGAAGTACGAAAACAAGGACTGTGGATGGCCCTACCCTCTAATATCAGGGGCTTCTAAAAAAGTATACAAAAATAAAGTATGCGATAACATAATTTTATAACAGCCTACTACCCTGTTGTCAGAGAGTAATCATCACTTGGTATGATCGTCCGCATTCGGGAACAACCTTTCCCTTAGCTCTCCGGAATACGTGCCCCCACCCACGCCGATTAAGAGAGAGGGGAGGGAGAAACGTGGGCAAAAGCACATGACCTCAGGATAAATCTTTTTAGGAGAATGCACTGCTTATAAAAGATCGATGTATACTCAGTGGGACAGGGGATGGGACGCAAATGGTTATACCTGGTATATCCATGTTCATCAAACTCAGAACATGCTTTATTATATAAATAACAGTTGGTGTTTTCATTCTTATTTCCATAAAACAGCCATATCTAGAAAGCGAAAAAGGTTTTTCTTTGTGAAGATAACAACTGGAACTACTTTTTGTCCTTTTGCAGTTGGTCTGGTAAATTTATCTTCTCCTTAGCCATATAACGGTAAGTTGTCTGTATATGTTTATGTCAACGAAACGTTTCACCCCCCCCCCCCCCCTTCCCGGCCGTCCCCATATTCTGCTGTTTGCATATGTATCAAAATTAGAGAAAAGCGACGACTACTACTTCACGTTACCTTTTCCAAATTATCGCTTACTGATAAAAATATTAGAATTTCCTCTCGGGATTAAGACTATTGAATGCACAAATAAGTAAGTCTGGCTCTAGACGCAAATTTATTCTGATTTCTTTCTGGGACAGGAAGCAAAGGAAACTGAAGTTTATTTCCTTATTGCTGTTCTGAAAAGGTATCACGTCGTCCTCGATGATCTTCATGGCCTTTCATTCAATAGGTTGAAATTCCTTTAAATTCGCTGACGACGGCCTGGCTACGCAATGTTTTTAACATAAGTCCTATCTCTTAAACTTATGTCACAAGTTCAAAATTATAAAGTTATGGGGATTTTTGTCAAACATATATTTCAGTGGTGTAAAATATAACGAACAGACGTACAACAAAAATGACAAAATGTGTCATTTACTGTTACTTTGGTGCTTTGTTTTCGATTTGTAAGCAACACTTCAATAATAAAAAAAGTATATACACATGTATTTACACAGTGCCTATGCAGAGGATGCAGTGCCTATGCAGATGGTGTTAGGCCATAACCCAACAGCGTTATTATAACGTTACCACAATGTTTATTTTACCAAAAACGTTTTGGTAACGTTAAAATAACGTTCCGTGTTTTCTGGAAAAAGAAAGTTTGTCAAGTTTCCGTGTAGTTGAACTCGTTATGGACGACGCTCGACAGCACGAAAGTATTTACTCCTTAAAGGTACGCTGTCCACCATTAAAAACGGAACATCGTAAACAACAACGAATACGATAGATTTATGGGCAGAAATGAACTTCTCTTATAAAGCAATAAACGGGGAACATGTCCCCCATAACCTTTAAATGAATAAAACATTTTTTTTATTGATTAAAAGATGAAGGCCTTTCCTCACGAATGCCTCGATACCTTGGTACATGTACTGTAACAAATTACAAGATAGACGGCAAATCTTTTTAAACAATCTGAACAAGAAACTTTTTTAAAGATTTAAAACCACTCACTTAATCGATTATTAAAATTCTAGTATTCGCTGCATGATTTCTAATCTATACTTTAAAATGTTAGAGAATGTTACTCAACAAACCTTTATTACGTATCAACACAAAGCACAGATAAATCAGCGGTACTCAAACGTCACGGGGTCGCTTGCTAATGTAAACCGCAAAAGTATAAACAAAAAGTGAATGGACTTTAAGGGCATCATACATAATGCATCGAGTACACGTATTCAAAATTATGAGTGTTTTTTAAACCCAACCCAGAGGTAGATAGTATAAATA